TTATCCTCGTCAATCGCGAGCTGTGGGCGATCTTCAATATCGACATTTTCAGGATCAAAGTCTTCGAACTGCGCCTCATCGACTTCAGAAAGAATAGACTCCTCGTCAGAATCGACCCCGGCGTCCTCTTTGTCGGCAGCATCGTCTGCATGATCTTCAGTTATCGACTCTGCCGCTGGTGTCACTGATGCTGCTCCCTCTTCTTGTGCTTCCTCGTTGTTGTCGTCGTCGCCGCCAGGAGTCGGGGCCTTCACTGGTTCCTCGGGTAGGTCTGTGTGAGGCTCGTGGTCGGAGACGGCACCTGTCGGTGAGCCGGGCTTAATTTCAGGGCTGTCAGACATGTTGTATGATTTCGTTGACGATGGCAGACTGAGTTGTGTTGATGTGATGAGATCAGAGGAGGTATCGGAGCGCCTGATGCGGCTCCGCTCTCAAACCACGATTCCTTCGGTTGTGAGGGCGAAGTAACGGAGCAGTAACGGAAATAAGCCTCCAGAAAGTAGATTCGAAATACAACGCTCAATGAGCAGATGCAAAAGTATACGTAGATGAGGGGAATCCCAGTGAAAGATTTGGAGGCTGGTATTACTGGCCTTGGGGAGTTGTCGCAGCAGAAACAGCAACAGCAGAAATTCCGCCTCCGCCAAGTGGTCCGTGCGTCCGCATCTCGACTCGTCTGCAGTTGGGATATCGATTCTTCTGACTCTGTTTCCAATAATACCACTCTATCCGTCAATAGTCCCTTTCATACGAAAAAGACTAAGATCAAAATGTTTGCTCCTGGTGAGTCAATCACTACATCTTTACACCTCGAAATCATCTGTCGACTCGAGTTCTGCCCAGCTTCGAGCAGTTCACTAACATTCTGTCTCCAGGTCAAGAACAGCTTTCCAAGGAGGAGCTTAGAGTAAATTCCCCTCTTACCCCCCTGGTTTTTCTTCATCATATTTGGGCCTCCTTTGTGCGCTGTAATCGCGCATTGCTCGCTGAGACAACCTCCTATAAATTGCCGCATCTATAAATGCTAACAGCAACTCTACACAGGCTGCTGAGGCTCAGGCCAGCCAGACCGTCCGGGCTGCTATCACCGGCGGTATCCTTCTCTATCTTTGTGAGTGCTTATGAATATATCTTCCTATCCAAAGGTGCCGCACGAGCTAACGGGTCAATGTATCAGCTCCCTTCGCCGTCGATTTCGTCAAGAAGTTCCTCTAAAAATCGGTCCCTTCCTATCGTTGCATAGCCCGTTCAAACCGTTATGACGATGATTATGGCAGAGCTCTTAGTCTCGCTCGAATTGCAGGCGTGATGTATTACTATTGTACATGGGTATTTTTTGGTTTACCGGGTATAAAGAATTAGATCGAAAAAAAGTGAAAGCTCCGGATGTAGCGTCTTCTACCGCATTAAGTAGAATCATGTCGATTAGGGCCAGACCGAGATTTATGCAGGATATCAGTTCCAATAGACTCGGTTGCTCCATACAGCACCAGAAGCAGAGGATGAAATATCATATGCGAAATATTACATTGGACGCTTGATTGCGTTGACCAATCTATCTTTAATGATCAGCCGGTCCCTGAAGCTTCTGGGCCTCTTCAAAGTCCTGTTTGACGGATTCCAATTCCTTTTGCAGATGTGTGATTTGTGCGTGGTAGTCATCCAAGATCTGGAAAGAATTAGCAATTTGACCACAGGGACAACTTGAAAGCAGTGCGATCCGAAGGAGTAGACAAACCTTCTTTGCGGTCTTCATGGTATTCTCGTCCAATTCCTCCTCGCCCTGAGCAGCCGTTGAAGCGCCCGCCTTCTCCATCTCCGCCTGCAGGCGTTTCGAGTGTTCCCGGATCGCCAACATGCGAGCCCAGATCTCCTCAGCCCGTCCGTTGAGCGAGGGATTAAAGACAGACCGCTCCAGCTGTGCGAGCTTCTTCTTTAGCTCTTCCTCTGCCTCATCCATTGCGTAGCCTCGGTTCCTGAGTACTTGAGTCTTCGCCGCCAAAGCGAGACACCGCTTGCTTAGAACTAGATGTTTCCGGCGACAGTCGGCGATCTTGACGGATATCTTCAGGTCATGACGAGACAGCAGGTCGGTGAGACAGTTGTTAATCTCATGGAGGCGGGTCTGAGCCATTGTGAGGAAATCCTTTTGTCGCTGCGCTCGCTTGCCGAGTTCCCAAAACCCTCTCACCAACACGGGCACAAATCTGGAGTCGGGTCTTTTCCGTAGAGCCTCTTCCCATTTCGTCTCGTCGTCCTCCGCGGTAGGCTGGTAGAAGGGAGCCTGATCCCCGACCTGATTGTACAGATAAGCTCTGAACGGCGACGCGCGACTACCGGTGTCCCATTTGTTCTTGAGAATTTCTATTTGCATGGGTACCGTTCGATGTACTATGGTAAAAGTTAGCCTGGCGCTTAGGACAGTACAATCTGACCATCAGAACAAACCTCCTGTAACAGCGCGGCCTGGTGACCAGAGACTAGAGCCCGGCTGCTGTGTTGTGGTTTGTCCCAATTGAGGCTGCTGTTGACCTCCAACGAGGGATCCACCAAACAAGCTCTGCTGCTGAGGTTGTTGCTGTTGTTGTGTAGTAGCTCCGAGGCCTCCAAATAGCCCACCTCCCTGTTGCGGAGTCTGCTGCTGTTGCGGCTGTCCCAATCCTCCAAACAGGCTGCTCCCCTGCGGCTTCTGCTGTCCAAGCGTTGATCCAAACAATCCTCCACCACCTGTCGGCGTCTGCTGCGGCTGTTGTGTCTGACCTAAAGCGCCGCCAAAGAGGCCGCCTGTCTGGGGTTTCTGCTGCGTTGTAGATCCGAACAAGCCTCCACCAGTCTGGGGCTGAGTCTGGGTTGCCGTTGCGGACCCGAAAAGGCCACCAGTCTGCTGCGGCTGCGATGGCGCATTGGATCCGAACAGGCCACCTCCTGTAGAGCTCTGTTGGTTTTGTGACGATCCAAATAAGCCACCACCGGTGCTCTGCTGTGTTCCGGTCGTACTCGAGCCGAATCCGCCAAAGGCACTGGGTTTATTTGCGGTAGCGGACCCAAACAGTCCACCCGACTGAGTTTGCCCTCCGAAGAGAGACATGTCGAAGGGATTAAGCGAAAGCGCTGCGCTTTGGTGCAGACACTGAGTAACGCGATTGAGCGCGAAAGGCGGGCGGAATTTATGAGAATCGAAGCTCCAGCAACGGTACACTGAGGTAGGACAAGAAAGGGTCTGAAAAGCGAGGGAGCGCCGGGCCTGCGTTGCGCTCAATATAGGAATCAATCAAGAATGGCCTTTCAGCACCTCATTTTAAAGAAAGAGAAGAGGCGCGGCAAAGGAAGTCGGTGTGTATAAAGACAGCAATGGCTGGAGCTTGTTAATTCCACCGAGAGCTGCTTTGTTTTTCGCGGTTATATCACGTGATTGATACCTTACCAGCGCAAATGTGAATGGACAACACTTACAGAGTAGTTCAATATGAGGGATGGGATTGGCAGTTGAGATTATTGATTCAAGCTACGTACCTACTATTGAGACCACTAGGTCCATCATGAACACATTTGCCTATCCAGATTGATACCTGGTTACCTAGGCACCTGGTCCATACTGCAGCATCTGAAGTCCGCAGCCATCGGCATCACCTTACATAATCCGCACCACAACCAATCAGACACACGCAAAATCCGACCCTTCCAAACTCGCAGCTCCCTCCGAACCGGTCACTCCATCCACGAATCCCGCCCGTCTCTCTGTAATAGAGCATATCCCCCAGCCAGGCAGTCCGTCAAGATGTCCCGGAGAGAGCCCCAGTACGTTCCTCGCTCAATCCTGCCTCCAATTGAAGCCTCCATGCTTCCCCGCAACCCCCGACGACACTAACCAGCACCCAGGTTCAACCAACATGTCCTCGTGGACACCACCCCGATGCCCAGCGACATCCCCAAGGTGGAGGAGGTTGGAGCAACGTCTGCGCCGCTGCTGAGCGCATCCTACTTCATCGGCGACCGCTGCAAGGCCTTCAATGACGATTTCATGAAGTGCAAGGCCGAGACGAATGGCCGGGGAGAGCTGGAGTGTCTGAAGGAGGGTCGGAAGGTCACCCGCTGTGCGGCGAGTGTGTACGTTTTCCTATCCCTTCGCATTTCTCGTCATGCTTGCTTTCAGATCGTATGCTGGTTGTGCAATAGTCGGCCGGGGGCTAATCGAGTCAATCGTGGCACAGGATCAAGGACATCAACACCCACTGCTTGAAGCAGTTCAACGCTCACTGGGAATGTCTCGAGAACAACAACCAGAACCTATGGGAGTGCCGGAAGCCCGAGATGGAGCTCAACAGCTGTGTTTTTGAGAAGCTGGTACGTCCGCGTTCTCCGGCTCAGTCCCACCTCTACAGCTTCGACAGTATGGTACACGGGCTGTGCTGACGATGAACAGGGCCTCAAGAAGACCATCCCCGGAGCCCCCGAGGGCCAGACCCCCGTACATCTGCGACCCAAGCAGCTGTACGCCCAGTTCCCCGGTCCTCAATATTAGGGTATTTGTGTCTTTTCCTATTTCCCACTCCTCGTTCGGTTTCTGTCGTGGAATCTCGGTGTTTCTGATCGAAAGGCTTGTCTGTGTATATATTAGCATCAGGAATGATCAATTGTTTCTATCACCTCGTTTCTACTGAGCGATAATCGATTTCCAGGTTTAGGGCTTGTCTGAAGTACTCCCAGGTTGATGCTACATAATGGATGCGTCTAGTTTGCGTTAGAATACAGTATACCCCTCAGATGCATGCGTACTTCAAGCAATCGACACCTGCTCAACGAGGTCCCTGTCCTGTGGGTGCTCCCCTGTATGTATAGAATATCCAACCGTCAATGATACAAGAAGGAAAAAGAACAAAACGAAGGAGTAACAAATCAGCACGCCTGACAGGAATGAAAGCCCATAATGATGGAAACATGAGGGATTGAAACACAATATGTACTTGAGAAAAGAAAATGTACGCAACCGTCCGGAATAATCAGAAGATATCTAGTCGGGGAAATCGTCTCAGGGACTTGAGTTTGGCCAGCCGAGTCTTCACCTCAGACCACCCGACCTTGAGCTTCTCCTCAAGTCGTCGGTCGCCCTTGATCCTCATCCAGATCAGGACCATACCCAAGATCGCAAGGTCGAAGATGATTTGCCGGAAGGTCACCCAGACAATCCACTTCAGCCAGGTCCAGAGCGCAGACCGGCGACGGTTTGCCAGGGCCCGCGCCTCCATCTGCTCGCGGACAGCGGCGATCTCGGCAGTCATCTTGGTCAAGGCCTGCTCGACCCTCCGTCGCCATCGGCGGTCGCGCTCGCCGGAGCTTACAACGCGGTGTTTCTTGTCTCCTGCTGCTGGTGCTGGTTGTAGTCCTCTCGTTCGCCCTCGTGACTGCGCTTCGTCGTGATCATCGTCGAACCTCTGGCTGTTCTGCTGGCTTTGGTTGTTGTCGTTGTCGTCATCATCCTCATAAAGGGTATCTTGAGCCTCTTCGTACTCTTCCTCCTCCTCGTCCTCTTCATCCTCATCTTCTAATACTTGTGCCTCCTCCTCATCCGCAACGTCCATATTCCCGCGCCGCTGATACAGCCCATCAGGCTGACTCACCGGACTGAGGACGCGTAACCTGGAATCTCCATGATTACGCCCATGACTGTGATCATCCCGCGCCATAGCAATCCTATCCTCGTAGTTGGGACGGGCCAAACGCCCTCCGATGCTCGCATAGTTCGGCTGGGGTAGCCGCGGCACGCCAACATTCTGCACAGGACTCGACGACGAAGAGGACGAGGTATTAGACTTGATCTGGTCCCAGACGAACTCGAGCTCCGCGACGAGCTCGCGCGCCTCGGGGGTCTGCGAAGCGTAGCGGTGCATTGTGTCGATGAGGGTGGAGATGTAGCGCCGTTTGGCCTCAGTGCGGGAGAGCCCGCGCTGCGCGTACCATGCGTCCCTACGCCTCATCAGCACCGGCCCGGGTATGGCAAGTAACAAGAAGCAGAGGGCCAGCATACCATTTCTCACACTCCGCGTAGACGTCCGCGGTATTCCCAACCGGTCGGTCCATGACGCCCTCCACATCGCCCTCTGTGGTATCAATCAGCATATCTGTCCAGCACATGCAAAATCCCCGTATCGAAGAAGCGCCCCTACCCATGCTCTGCTTGTACAAGCCGTAAAGCTTCAATCTCTCCGAGGCAGGCGGTCTCGCGGTGCCCGTCCGCGGGATGCGTTTGACGGTATTGAGGGCATGGACGAAGACTCGGTCTAGCAACCAAACGCATCAGCATCTGATCAACGCAGCTCGACCCAAGATCTCTGGCGCGTGGTCTGGTACATACCCACAGAGTCCGACATGGTGAGATCCGAAGCCTCGAACCGAGCGGGTCCTTCATGAGAGCTAACAGGGAACTTGCGATGGGCCAATTCCGGCGGTGACTTCTCCTGGAGATATCGCGCGAGAATCAAGGGTGGTTGCTCCAGCTTTGAATACGGTCCTCCGCTTCGACGGCGCTGGAACCGGTCGGTAGTCGAGCTCAAAAAAGGGGAGGCGAATGTGATTGCTGAGGTCGAGGATGATCGGAGCGGACCGCACGAGATCCCCAAGCTTCCCCGGATTTGAGCTTCGACCGCAGCAATTGAATGGTGGATGGAGTTGGAGGTCAAGGTGGTATTATGATTGGAATTGGAGATTGAGGTTCTTGTATCGAATGTTGTATTCTCTTTTTTTGTGCAATGGCGGATGATAAGACGGGGGGTGGATGCGTTGGCTGATTGATGGGAGTGATTGCTTGATGATTGCCAGAACAGGTTGTACCGCGGCTCTCGGAGTGCCTGACAGCTGGGACCTGTGATTGACAACTAAACAGCTCCGAGTCGTCATGAACACTTGACAAGTTGTCATTTCTAGCGACTCAATTTAATAAGTCTATACTCGATTGAAAATACTTCTGCTTAATTGTACATTTTCAAAGGCTCAAGGATTCAATACATTTCCATCCATGTGACTTGCATCTTTGATGTGGTGATACATATAGAAATATATTGGTCACTCGATAGATAAGCTCATCTGCACCAGGCAAAGAAAGAGGTTATAATAAAAAGAAAAAACTAGTACAAGATCATTGCTCCACCTTCTTCGTGGACATCGATTCATCTGAATATGCATTCTCGGCATCTACAACCGCCTTCCCTGTCATCACAGGCTGCGCCCTTACTTCTTCGGCCGACGCAGGCGGTCCGGTAAAATGCTTGCGCGCATAGACAATGTACCAGATGATACTGATTGCCGCAAACCCCGCGAACACAACGCTGGCGTAGTTCATCGAGCTGGCAGTCACCGGCAGAAAGACGGGCATGCAGAAAAGGGCTACGGCGAGGACGATCCAGCACACGGTGACCGCGTTAATCGCATACCCGAATTTTCCGAGCGAGAAGGTAGAGTTCTTGAGGTCGCGGCGCCCACGGACCATGGAAATGAGGATGGGGAGACCGTACGAAGTCGACAGGCAGATCGTAGCGACCCCGGTGAACGAGTTGAAGGCCGCGGTCGAGCCGAAGTAGATCAAGCCCAGAAGGCAGTCGACCGCTGCAGAGAGCAAGATCGCATAGACGGGCACATCGAGGCGCTTGTTGACCTTGCGCCAGATGCGGAATCCGGGGATGGCCCCGTCACGGGCGAATGCGTAGGTGCACCGACTGGCAGCCGTCAGGGAGCCGATGCCGGCGAACATCGCGATGCCGAGGATGAGGAACAGCAATCCGAATCCGCCACCAGCCGAGCCAGTCGCTGTCTTGAAGATGAGGCCGATGGGTTGGCCGCTAGCAACGCTGAGGAGGTCCTTCACGGTTGGCAGAACGAAGAGGATGGGGATCAGGTAGATAAGACCGGTGATACCAGCGGCGACAACCGACAGGACGATGGCCTTGGGGACCTCGCGATGAGGATTCTGCACTTCTTCACACATGGCAGCGACCATGCCGTACCCCGTCAAGGTGTAAGCTGCCTGCAGCAACCCGACGAAGAAAGCCCATCCAGAAGGCCTAGCCCAGAGTCAGTGATCCAGGATTTAGAGAGAAGAGGAGAATTGCGAGACACTCACCAACCACTATCCGACGCATCGTAATGCCCAAAAACAAACGCCGCATCCCTCCGATTATCCGCCATAGTCAACAGGACGATCAAGATGATGAGCACACTAGCCGCCGTCCAAAAGATACACACTTTGTTGATCAAGTCCAAGTACTTTGAGAAGAAGATATTGACGACCGCACAGACAAGCACCACCGCCCAGAACATCAGGATGGTCTGCCATGCATTGGCGACGAAATCCTCATTCCACAGCGAAATCGCGCTCAGGATCAGCTGTCCAGTCGAGAAGGTGATACTGAGCGTGACGGTCCAGTTCCCCACGAGCGTCAACCATCCGTCAATGAAGGACATCATCGGGGCCCATTCCTTGGTCGACAGCATGGCGCTCCAGTAGTACACGCCGCCGGCGGTCGGGTAGACGGCGCAGATTTCGGCCAGCGAGGCGGCGATCGCGATCGAGATCAAGGTGACCAGAACCCAGCCCCAGATGATGGTGACGGATTGGCCGTCTGTCAGGGTAATGTACATGGTGGTGCTGAGACCGAAGGGAGCGGCCATGATGGCGAAGGAACTGTTTGGACATGCGACAGATCAGCAGCTGCACCCAAGCCATAGAGGGAGATAAAGTTATGTAGAGCCACGCACAGTCCGAGAATGCTCATCATGCTCAGATTACGAGGCAACTCGCTCTTGTAGCCCATCCTGGCCAGCGCCGCGTCGGCGCTGGCATCAACGGTGACCTCGTGCATTGCAGAGACGACGTTTGGGAGATGGTGCGGGGGAGTTCCGCGGTCAATATCAATGTATGTCGGGTCAGAGGGTCCAATTGTAGATATGAAATCAATTCAGCGATTCATTCCAGTAAGGTCAGGGTGATGATGTGAACACAAGGGTGTCCCGTATTGAGAAGATCAGGTCAAGGGGGAATGGGTGGATATTTGAAGGCAAGACAAGATGATAACATCTCCACTATGGCCCAGCTAGATAGAACACGAGAGATAGATGAGGAATAAGCTTCCGCCGTCCATCGATAACTACGGACATATTCCACTCCTTCGTAGACAGTGGACGGTGTCTCGTGCAGACTTGGCAGAAATGGGAATGGACTCAACCCCGCATATCAGCGGATGGAGACAGTGGACACTGGAAAGGCCGGAGACGCTGATAAGCAGGGTAGGGACAGCCCAATGGTGGCCGGTCTCGGGGCCATTATTATTGACTCTTACGAGGCCAAGGGGCGGTCCGAAAGCGCGCTTCTGTTGCGGGAGCGCGCTGATAACACAGGGAGGAGTCTATTAAGTAGTTTGAATGTATGAGATTAGTTTTATCTTTGATGTCGATATGAGTCTGTTATCTTCATTCTAATAGAAAACATGACACAAGTCAATCATGATCTCAATGTCTACATCACTTATCATCAATGCTCTTACGCTTCTACGGAGTTCATTGTAGTAGCCTAAATACTCAGGCAGACACACACACCACAATCAAATAATCCATGACTAACAGACTTTCCTCTACCCCAGAAATCATACGGTACCGCCCTAAGAGCTTGAACAATCAACAGCTTCCTAGGATACTTTCAACCTGTCTTGCGGGGGAGGAACCATCCAACCGCTCAAATTCAATATCCAAGCTCATGAACAGGATCTTGCCGCTGTCAGGAGAATCATGGATGCCCCCGATGGTTATAACTTATGGGACCTTTCCCCAGATATCTCGTGGCATTCCTCCACCTGCCTATATTCTCATCATGTAATGGATTCACCAAACGTCGACATTTCTGAATCAAGTCTAGCCAAGCGTCTGACCTGAGCGGTCCACAGTCGTGGATCGCTCGGATATCCATCCATCCATCCCGAGTCCTCAACCGAATACCCCAGATTATCTTCCTCCGCGGTGGAGCGTGCGACTTTAGCCATGAGATCATGAGCTACCGATTGCTTAGACTGGGGCGCGATCAACGTGCCATGGACCCATGCCGCGCTTCTTTCGGATGCGGGGTGAGCCTGCTTAGAGCCGTTTCCTGGACTCAGAACCGCACCTTGATTGTCGAGGGCATGTTCAGCAGACCGGCTTGCGCCCTTTAAGCGCACAGGACATTCTGCTAGAAGACTTTGAGAGTGTCGATCATGTCCAGCGCCATCAGGTACTTGCACTGACTTGGCTAATGAAGCAAGTCGAAGTGGAGGGATGCCTGTCACTGGTGTTCCTCTGATTTATCCGTATACAGTCAGTGAAAAGCCGCTCACACCCATTGTATGTCCCATCTCTGTCAAGACAGAGCCCAACTCTGCCTAGCAGCTGCTCATGTTTTTGTTTCTGTTACTGAACCCGTTGCTCCCCATGACAAAAAAGGCATGCAGTAGGTATTGACGCCACAGTTTCCGATTGGTGTGATCAGCATCTGGAAAAACTTGACTTAATCTGTCTGCTGCTCTGCGCGTCCACAGCACCATGCAGAGGTACAAGGCTGTCATGGGCAGGCATCGAACCGAGGAAATATATTCGGCGAGAGCAGGCCCAAATGAAGGACTCGAACCATTGGACAAGAATTTCTTGCTTTTAGAGAATGCCGCGAGCTAGTGTTATATACAAGTATGATTTAAAGAGTACTTTGAGACCTAAATTAATTAGATTCAATTTAAGAGGAGAACCCAGAGAGGAAGCATTAAGCTGATACCAAAGCTAATTATAAGTACTAAGTTAGCGATCGTCGTACCATGGCGCTCTTTGCTCGCATGTAGGGTGAACACGGTAATCTTTGCTTGGCTACGACTAACAGGACCCGAGGGCCCCAACTGCTTAAGTTTAGGATGTAGTCAGAAGCGAGGCGCTATACTAGCTTGTTCATTCATAGCTATCATTCAAAATACACCAGGTCGACTGTCACACATATCGGTGACGGCTGCCACATCCGCTGAGCGCTGAGATCACCCGAACATCTCGCTTGCGGAGAAGAATCAAAGCCATGCTGGCTCGATAGAAGGGTCGGGGTTCAGCAAGGATGAGCGCCAGTAAAGAAGAAGACAGGGAAGGGAGTTTTGGAGGGGGAGTAATGATAAGGAACAGGGGACATGACATAGGAGGGAAATTAGGGGGTATCAAAGAAGGGGACACGAGATAGAGATACTTCATCACTTTATCTCCTTTTTGCTTTTTCAATTTCGCTTCGGGTCCAGTGCTGTGAAGTCCACATGATCACAGGCGAAAGTAGGCCCAGTAGGTCGGATCATGTTCGGAGGACCCGGCACGGTGAATGAGGGTGACAGTGAGAGGGAAGAGATGGAAGAGCAAAGAGGCGCAAAAAGGGGATAGCATCATCACAGAATCAGTCATATGAAAGGAGGAGCAGGATCCAAGTGTGAAGGTCAGTGGCGTAGTGCAGGCAACCTGCGACGACCACCAGAAGCCACGCGATAGGTGTGCCAGTCTCATTACTGAGACGAGAGGGCACAGTGCCAAGTTGCTTTTTCCATCTGACTTCCACTTGTTTGGTCTCTGCCCACTCATTGCCGCCTCGCTCTTCCTTTAATCCATAAACAAGGACGCCTTCACTTTCAAACCACAAGCAAGGCCTTCCAAGTGCAAGGCCTCAAGATGAGTCGCAACCAGCCAGCTAGCGTCAACTCCGTTGTGAATGGACAAGGACGAGGAGGGGATGAATCGAAAACATCGGAAATGTCGAAGTAAAAAGTCGCATAACGAAAAGAGAAAAAGACTTTAAAAACGCCCAATCATGCAGTCGTCAATCCAGATAAATCGTTACATGAGATGATGTAGCTCATAAGCGGCACGCATGTACAGAGAGCATTTCTATCGCGCAAGCACCTTTCATCACGGGCTGAGCTCCGCGCAGATGTCATCGGTGCCATCTAAGCCAAACCCGGCCATGTCGACCGAGTGAAGAGAGCCAGGGCCCCGGCCCAGCGATATGTCAGACGAGGCATAATCGTGCTTGAGTCGCTCGTGAGGTCCGAAGAACGGTCGGTTCTCCTCATTTGGGGTGTTACCATCGCCGGCTGCCCACGGACCATGCTGCCAGAACCGAGTGTTGGCCTGTTGATCACCGAAAAGGTCATGGTGATCGTGGTGAGCTTCGGGCCCGTGACTGGTGAAGTCATTGGGCGACTGGAACCTCAGATGCGACCGACTGAAACTGGAGCACGGAGAGTCTGCGTGGAGGGGTAGGTCAAGACCGGACAAGGGCAGATCCTCAACCGTGGTGATGTCGATGGTCGGATTCTCCGTTTGTTGAGCCAGAGCCGATGCAAGTCGAAGGTTCGAAGCCGAATTTTGGCGGCTGTGGGGGGCCGAACGCTCGATAGCCCGCTGCACGAAGCTGCCACAAGTCTTGAGGATCTTCTCTTGGTCTTCGGTCGACAGACTTGCAAAGTAGTCGTTTGCCAGGGAAGGCTTGGGCAGCTCTGGCGCACAGGGTGTAAGTTCGTAAGTCTTCTTGGCGTACTCGGTGAACCCGGATGGCATATCGTAGGGAGACTGGTAGACGGTCGGAGCCTGAGCACGCTGTTGGTCAAGGTAAGCATACTTGCCAGCCAGTTTGGCCGAGGCAGCGCTGCTCCTGGCGGTAGCCTCCTGCTTGATATTCTCCGACTCCCTCTTCTGCAGCACATCCAACCGCTCGCGGTGACTGACAAGCGAAAACCGGAGCATCTGTAAAAGTCTGGTGACTTCCTCCGACCGCATGTTCAGCGGTTGCAATGGTAGCAAGGTCCCATCAGGGGCCCGAGGTTGTACACGCTGCTGGGCCATGGCAAGTTCGAGTTTCTCGAGGCCATTGGGCGGGGGAACCGAGCCCATGGGACCCAGCAGCGTCTCAACTACCAGCTCAGGACTGACGATGGTATACCCGGCGAAAACATTGGCATGGTCGGTAATTTGGGCCAGGCGACGGCGAGCAATGAGCTCACGAACATTGGCGAAGGTATTGGCGGGGAGACCAGTGTTGGTGTTGGTGTTGGAGTTGTTGGTGCTGTTGTTCTGCTGCTGCTGCTGAGTTTGGAGGGGTTGCGGAGGATGGTAGAAGGGATGTTGCTGCTGTTGAAGTTGGTGGTGGTGGTGATGATGCGATTTGATGACTTGCGGGTACGGAGCATGGCGAGCGGACTGAGTTGGCAAGGTTCGATAGGCTGACGGCATCGCAGAAGCAGCAGCAGCAGAAGCAACAGTGGAGGAGGAGGAGGAGGAGCGAGGGGCAGCAGGACGAGGAGGAGGGGCAAGAGGTCGCTGCAGCAGGGAAGGGCGGTTGGCAGCAGCAGCACTGGCGGCGGCGGCGGCAGCGGCAGCAGCAGGAGAAAGGAGGTGGTGGTGAGGAGGAGGGGCAACGACGGCAGCGGAAGCAGCAGACGCAGACGCAGACGCATATTGAGGGAAATGGTGGGGGTAAGAGGGGAGCCGAGTCACCACACCGCCAAGAGACTTGACGCTGTCCAGGAAATTCGAGCGCGGGTTGTGGACGGACACGCTAGGGTTGTGTGTATATTGAGCCCTACATTCGGTCGATGATTGCCCCAAGTAATACCAGATGTGCTCGCCCTTGTCTAGGTCGACATGCAATGGCGGTGGGGCAGAGACGTGTTTAGTTACGTCCACCGTCTCGAACTCAGCCCACTGATACGGCGATCGCCCGTCGCCAAACGGATTTCCTGCCACCGGCACCGCCGATTCCAATTCCCTCCGAGCATCGGGCTTGCGAGCCAAGTGTGCTGGCAATGGCTTTGTGCCTGGG